AGCCTTAGAACAGTACCTGCAGTTAACCAGTCTTATCGTACCAGTGAAAACCACTCCTTCTACTATCCCTCTAAATGATGAACTGATGCTCCCTGCCCATCTTAGAAAAAGCATGAGTGGAGAGTAGTTTGACAGCTCTGTCATCTCACAACTGAAACTGGGAAAAGTGTTAACCCGCAAGATCCCTCTTGCAGGATGAAGCGCATCCATCACTGTCAAATATATATATATATATAGTAGATGAATAATTCATCTAACTCGCTGAGTGCTGCTACCAGACAAAGTTGCTTCGAGAAGTAATGGTCTGCTAACAGAACTGAAAAATAATTTCAGCCTATAGGCATCAACACCGTTCAAATAGTAACGAAAAAGTCGTTTCTCACGAATAAACCCGAGATTACCATACAAACGCAAAGCATCGCTATTCGTTACCTCGGTCTCCAGCACTACCTGAAAATCACGAATTGTTTGCACAAACAACGGGTACGACGACTTTGACTTAAAGCTTCGGTTTTGTCCGAAATCTTTGCACACAATGCCACTGAGACCAATTTTTCCTCAGGCTGTTCATAACAGTATACTATTGCTGGCATAGTGGTATGTCAGTAAAATTTCCTTCTTATCACAGAGTTTATACCACTCAAAGAAGAACTATAGAATTACGGCAGCACATAACGCATGGTAAAGCTTGCTAACACAGAGATCCTGTTCTTGATGCTTTATAAAGTATGTATGAGAATACTGTCACGTTACTTACTTTCTAACATGCAAAATGCTACGGCAGACCCGAAATGTACAAGGAGGAAATGAAGAAAAGAGGGGTGCAAGAATCTGAAAAAAGAATGAGATAAAACGTTTCGATCCGCAAAGTCATGAACGCTATAGGTTCACGACTTAAGAGTACTTGGTTCTTGCGCAGTTACGTAACCAGTTTTTTTTACACTAAAGTCTTACCCTCAGACCATCAGCACAAAATAGAGTTTTCATAACAGTACTGAAACAGACAACAAACCAGCTCACCTGATCACAGCCCATCTTCTGCATATTACATATTGCTTCCTTCACCAAACGAGTTCCTGCAAGGCTAAAAATCAATTTCAGCAAATTTTACACCTCGATTTACAAACAAACCAGAATTCCTACTATATTTCAGTGCAGCTTTGTAAGCCTAACTACCTCTCTGGCCTGCTACGCATACATCACCATTTCGAGTAAAAAAAAATCAACAAATAGAGGGCTGACCAATTTGCCGATTCAAAACCAGTAACTCGAGGACCAAAAACTTTCATTTTTTCGCTACCGAACTTAAGTTTTGTTGTGCTCGCAAAGCTGTTAGTTTGAAGC